CTTCGGAAATGACAATTTCGAATACTGCTGCGTCTGGTTACGGGTACGTTTGGTCAACACAGAAAGTGGAGGGGATTGAGATAGGAGTGATGTAAATTAACTTAGTGTCCCGTGCTTATTTTTTAAATTTTTTTTAATTTTATTTTATATATAATTATTTATATTTAAAATATCTCATTACTGATTTCTTAATATGCATTTTTCATAATTAATTATCATGCAAATAAAATAATTAATTAATTGACATAATTAATTCCTATAAATAATAAGGAACTAATTAATTATCATACATATTAGACAATAGACAGGGCCTCTTATAAATATATCAGCCAAATGCGGTATTTTTCAATTGTTTTTAAAAATATTTCCAAAAAAAATTAAGAAAGTTTCACATAACATAAGAGATGTAAAGGACTTTGAATAAAAATATGAAATAGTCAGACTTAAAATTTTAATATTTATTTAGTAACTATTATTAACTTATCTATAGATATATTTTTTTTTTAGAAGCATGATATGTAATCATAAAGATTTTAGTTAAAAAGTATCTATATTATTATCAAATCTATTGAGCACAAAATAAAAATGTGAAGGATTGTTTTATTGTAATTACTTATAAATAGATTAAAACAGGTTTAGGAATGTTTGAAAACTTGACTACTTGATGAAATATTTGATTTCAAAACAAGATATTACAATCATATAATTTATTTGCTACGTTTATGGTTTGTTATTATCCTATAATTTAAAATTCTTTCTAATTGACCATAATTTTCGGGTATTCTCCGAAATTTTAAGATTATTAAATTAAGGAATACTTTGAATTTTTCTTTTTTAGTTTAGTAAAGTGATTCCAAAATTTTGGAAAGATTGATACAAATTTTAATTTGTATATAATAAATGTTAAAATGGAAATAGGAAAAAGATTTCCAACATCTTAAGAAATTAAAATTTAAAAGTAAAAAATGAAAAATAAAAAAGGAAAAAGACGTAATATTGGAAAAAGAAAAAAAGAATATAGCAAAGAAAAAAATTGTCATGCTTCATAGGAATAAATTAGAATATGATACTCGGCAATTTATTTGACTTTTATCATTGTTAACAGTTCTAAATAATTAATTAAGGATATTAAAATTAAATCAAAACAATACCAAAAAAAATAATAACAAAACAATTTTTTTTTTTTAAAAAAAAAGCAGGGATAGAATTGAGATAAATATGGACATAGGTGAAATGCATATTTATTAAAAAGAAAATAATTTATCTTACTTGAAAAAATTCTAAATATTTCAAAAAAATCATATGCGGGAGAAACCAAAAAATTTCAAAAAACAATTCCATTAGTAGTAAAAATCGAAAATTTTGGCAGGAATCTTCAGTTTTTTTAAGATTTTTCCTTATTCCTATTATATAGTAATAGATTTCGATGACTGAGTTGTCATAATCTGGTTATATAACCTTTGGGAAGGACCTACATATTCATTGATACAATCGTTAATTTGTTATAAATCTGATTTGCCTAAAAAAAATTGATCATATATCAATCTTCTATTGCAATACTTTTTTTCAGAACTACAAAAAAATTGATCATATGCGTTTTTTGGCTTGATATGATCTTTTGTTGGTAAAATTCGATTTTCTTCCACCATTGCTATCCTCCATCTTCTATTGCAGTACTTTTTTAGACCTACAAAAAAATGTCACCACATATATATATATACTAGTGTGTACCCCGTGCGATGCACGGGAACAATATTAAATTAACAATATTATAAATAGACCTCGAGTTTGAGTCACTGAATGGCGGAAGTGGAAACTACTATTGATCCTATTTAAAAAGAGGAAGAAAAAAAATAATTATAAATTAAAGAGGAGGATAAAAAATACTTAATAATTATAAATTAAAGATTCGGGATCAAACAATGTAAAATTATTTTGTATAAGAGAATATATAAAATTTTAATCACACACCATTTCAAAATTATTATTATACTTTTTTGTATGGTTAGCTTATAATATTTGTAAAAATATTAGTAATTAGACCGATGAAAATTAGCTTCTTAAGGTAGATAATGAATTTCTAGTAGTAATTATGAATTGGTTTCTATTTTATTTTATTTTTTCAAATCTCTATAGATAAGGGATGAGACGTGAGACTTATGCAATGAAATTTTGTAACAAAAGAGATAAGCTCGTGTAGATTTATACTAAAAATAGAAAAAAGAAAAATAAATATTTATTGTCAAACAACGGTTTTGATAAACTAAAAAAGATGAAAAAAAGAAACAAATCTTTACACAATTAATGAACCGATTTTTTTGCCTATTTAAGTTTGTCCAACAATTACTATATGTAGGATATATTTAATGATTTTGGCGGAAAAAAATTTCTAAATTTGTAAAAAGGTTATTCTTTTTATATAATGATAGATATTAGAAATCAATTTTGTAGATGAAACAAAAATGTATCTTCTTAAACATTATACCGACTGAAATCTACAACCTTGTTTTTTGGTTATATACTGATACCATAAAATAAGTTTACTTAATGATTTTCTCTTTTAATGGCTGGTGAAAAGTATTGGTCTACGGAAACGTTATGTGTACATAGGAGAAAAATAAGGGTTTGAGGGAAAAGATTTTTTTCGATAAAAATTTGATATATTACGAAAAATAAATTTATAGTTGTTATATGTGATAATGACTACCTTTTATAGGAGATAAGGATAATCTTTACACGTATAAAAAAATGGTTTATTTTGAAATTTGTGGAAATGAATATTCTAATCAAACTAATTACTTTGACATCATAGGAAATAAGAGCATGTTTTTTAAGTATTTAGAAAATACCGATCACATACGAATTAGTTAATTAGTGTAGATTTACGAAATATTTTTTTTTGGCTTAAAATATCTATGATATATTTATGTGTAACACACAAGGAATCTCATATTTCATATATTTTTGTTTGTTTGTAACGATGTGGTAAGATCGTGGCTGCAGCTAATTTTTTCATCCAACATAACATTTTTTTTTTCTGGTTATTATTGATACATGCCGAATATAATTACAGATAAGTGCTTTTTCAGTTTTTTTATAGACTGGTTGTCTATTCAATGAATTACTTGTATATATCTATGGATGGTATGTCTAGTATTGTTGAATATATTGATGCAGAGCAAATATAATATTCTATAATAGAAAAAAAAAATATTCGATAGCAGTATGCTAATATTATTTTGCATATGGTGTATTGAAATTTTCCTTAAAAGTCTATTGATGTTAATCTTGTATGATGTTATTATTATTATTTTTATTTAAGTTGTTTTATAAGGTATCGTATATGCTAAAGATTTGGGATATTGGAAGATTTGGGATACTCACAAAACTTTTCAAAATTTTCAAAAAATTCAAACGATCTAATAAGAGGCGGCAAATTTTGAAAGTTTTTAAAATAAGTTTCTATGTTTAGTAATATGTTTAGGCGGGATTTAAGTTGATTTTTTAGTACTATTTTGGAATTATTTAGGTTGCCTCTTTATATATTAATAGATGTTAGAGCATATTAGTAGATGTTAGAGCATCTATAACGTTTTGAGTTCAATCAAAACAATTTATATGTGACTTAGATAATACTAGTACGCAGCCCGTGCGATGCATGGGAAATAAGTATTAAATTAGTTATTTCCACAGAGCTTGTCCGTTAAGTAGCTCGTGCGATTCACGGGAGATATTAAATGAGTGGACAATATAGCTTATCAGTTCAGGCCTAAAAAATAATAGAATTTGATCATCTATTTTTTTACCTCTTTCATCAACGTCATCTTTTTTGTCGAGACATTAAACCTGAGTCTGGTAGCGCCAGCCTGTAAATTAATTAATATATTATTTCGCTCACATGTTTATAAATATAAATTTGATTTCATCATATACATTTATTCCTTGATATAATAAAAATAACAATTTTACGTAATCTTGTTCCTCGTATAATATTATAAAATTTATTATAATATAATGTCATTATTATTATTATTTATACAAGTTATAGATGTAGTCTTCTTCTTATTTTTGTTTTATATAATTAAAATATTTAATGTATGTTAATATTATTTATTAATGTAATTAATTTAAATTGTGTAAATAAATTTAAAGTAAAACATTTTGTACA